TGTTGTAACACAACACACACACATAATGTCTGTTGTAACATAACACACACATAATGTCTGTCTGTTGTAACATAACACACACATAATGTCTGTTGTTGTAACATAACACACACACATAATGTCTGTTGTTGTAACATAACACACATAATGTCTGTTGTAACATAACACACACATAATGTCTGTTGTTGTAACACAACACACACACATAATGTCTGTTGTTGTAACATAACACACATAATGTCTGCTGTTGTAACACAACACACACATAATGTCTGTTGTTGTAACATAACACACACACATAATGTCTGTTGTAACACAACACACACATAATGTCTGCTGTAGCCACAGAAAATCCTGCAGGCATCTGTTCGGACAGCTAAGTGGCAGCATGAGGTCCTTACACTCAGTTTCTTATTTCATAAATCTAAAAAAGGATTTTGACTCGTCATAACTACATCTGAGAAAAGTAATTACAGATGTTTGACCCTTCAGATTTAAATGATGAATCCAGTTGTGTTATTTTAGATATCTTGATTTACATTTTGACTGGTCAGAAGTACTTTAAGATATTGAATTGTTCTTTTGAGTAGTCAGAATGTTATTACGTATATTTTAAATTATCATTCAGTATAGTCAAATGTAGTTGTCCCTAGTCAAAACAAATTTTAGACATCTAGAATYTAATTACAGATAGTCAGACAAAGCTGATTTATGTTAAATTGGCTTTCCGTAGAACTAGAGCCACAACATTGTCTTAAATTTGTAAGTCAGTCATGTGACTCCAGTATGTTTTTGGCAGATTCAACAGAGGGCTTTTATTTATATTGATTGTGTACCTGCATTTCATAAATGTACATCAGCATATCTGGAAAATTAAACTCTTTCTAACTGAACCATTTTGTATAGTTCATGGTTTACAGCTGTTTCATGATATAAGCATTTCATATTGGTTAATATTGATAAATATTGTTTGGTTTTTTTATTTTACCTGTTTGACAGGAGAAAAAAGGCTGATGGTTCCTCGTGAACTGTTGCACTCGTTTTCTTCTTTCACTGCACGTTTTTTCTTTTTTTAATCATGAAGCAGTTATGGGGCACGGTGGTGAAGCATGAAACTGCTGCTGCACGTGTTGCTGTCTGACCAAACAGTGAGTGAGTTTGATGCCATCAGRCTTGTTAAACTGGGCTTTACCTGCTGGTTAGTAGGGCTGGGTGATACAGACAAAATAATCATCAGTAAACAGAGGACAGAGGTTTTACTTACAGATTCCAGCACTTCAAGGTCCTGCCATGTTGGGTTGAGATGACGGCGCTGTTTGTCTGCACCCAGCACATGACGTTTGACCTTCTCTTCAACGAATCCTTGAGTCCTTCACTGTCTAGAGCCTCATCTTGTTGGTGATTCAGTGATTAGTTTGTGGGCAGGAAGCTCCAGTTGTTCTTCAGTATCACTGGTTAGTTTCCTGCCCTTGCATTGAATCCTGGGATATTTAGGTGCATCCTTGATTTTTGAGATTTTGTGTGCTGCATTCCCCAGCCACATATGTGACAGCACTTGGTGNAAGGCTGTGTAAAACCTCAAAGCGTGGATGTTGAAGTGAGTCAGGGCGTTGGACATACTCTCACACAGCATGTTAGTTAATAAGCATATCTAAAGTTTTTGACAACATCAACTAAAACATTTCTGAAACCATTAGTGACAGAAATGTCAACATCAGAAATGATGTGAATATTAGATATAAACTACACTACACATGTGGATATTAGATATAAACTACACTACACATGTGGATATTAGATATAAACTACACTACAGGTGTGGATAGGTAAGCATCAATCAGGGTTTTTTCTAGGGTTGTGAAATGAATCGACTTTGGGGTCCCTGTGGGACTTTATAAAGTACTATATAAGTTCAGTTTTTAACATTTTTGGTGAAACTGCATCTGACTGAGATTTTACACAGTGAAACTCACCGGCTGCTGGCTCATTGTGAACCTTATTGATGGACTCACATTATACCCACMTCTCTTTCTGAAGCTAAAATGTTGGACTTTGTGTACAAGGTTAACGTATAGTTTTCACTGAACCTCCTTTGTGGAGAAAAAAGGTTTTGAAGAACCAAACCAACCTCCACATCAACAGCTGTTGTGTTTTACAGGAAGACAACATGGCTTTTGGAAAACCTACAAAGTAAGCAGAAACCAATTTGAAACAGTTTAATGTTAAAAAGCGATGATGAGAAGCAGGCCTTTACYTGTGTTTGTGTCTCGTCAGGTACTGGATGCTGGACGTCAGTAAAATCTACAGCAGTGGCTGTAATGCCTGGGACCGAGCAGTGCACGATGCCTCAGAGGAGTACAAACACAGGATGGTAACTACAACACTTTACGTTCACGTAATACAGCAGGAACCACTGGAAATAAGTCTTGTTTTTATTTTTCCCAAAGCACAACCTGTGCTGTGACAACTGTCACTCACATGTGGCCATGGCTCTGAACCTGATGCAGTATGAGAACAGAACCTCGTGGAACATGGTCAGCCTTTGTCTGCTTGCTTTCATCCATGGAAAATATGTCAGGTAAGACGGCATGTGACCTGTGTCAGACTGAAGAAATTTATAATTATTACAGATCTGTACTGATTTCAGAAACAACACCAGAGTAGTAAGGGTTTCTTTTTATAACATTGTTATAATA